TTTCCGCGTGCTCGTTGCCGCGTGCTCGAGATTAAATTTAATGAGAACGGGGCATGAGGAGGGACACTGGGGCGTCAGTTAATGAGGACGGACACTAAGGATCAACTGACGACATTCCTAAAGAAATATCACGACAGTAATGGCACCCAGAACGGTGACCAAATGTCCCCTATACATTACCTTTAAATCATTGGCAATTGTTTTAACTACAATCGCTTGGTAATCCATAATTCTATCCAAGTCCCTCCGTAGGGAATCAATTCGCTGACTCTGTACGGATGACTCCGTTACGGTATCGGTAGCGATTGATGTACATTTGTTATCTAACCTATTTACTTCGTGTTCAATAGACAAAAGTCTGTAATCAGTTTGGTGGTCGATCTTTTGTTCCACCTTGTTGAGGCGAGTGTCTATAGAATTCACTTGTTCAAGAATACTGCTACATTGATTAGCCACTGCCGCCGTCTCATGGACAGCCTGATCTCTCAAGTCGGCAATGCTTTTTATAACCATCTGATTCATGTCCTTCACCTTCTGTTCCAGAATTTGTATTTTGAGCTCCAAGTCCGTAGGCTCATTAGGGACATTCGTACGGACTACATAGGGCGTTCCCGGGTAAAGACCCACGGGTTGCTGGCCCATGGTCTGAGCGGAGGGCCCGGCAATGTTCTCGCGGGCTCCACTACCACTTGACGAACAATCTAACCCCCCTCGACCAACCACCCCCGCGCTCCGACTTAGCTCACGGCTCCCGTCACACACACCCGCCCTCCCCTCCTCGCACCCTTGCTGGTCTTCCACCAGCGACCGGTGAATCAGAGTAAGCTTCCTCGTCAACGCATCCAACTTGTCACTGGCCGCTTTGAACTCCTGCTTCGCGCTAGGAGATTTCCGTCGGTACATTGGGTAGGCAGGAGGCAACCTCGCTCCAAAGGATTCGGACGACTCTCCATACGACTCCGTCATCACTTCACCAGGGCCTATAGAACACCCCCCATCTACCACAC